TGGAGCCACAAAGCCACCAGGCCTTTTACCTCATCTCCCTGTTCTTTCCTAGACCTCATTCAATTGGCCCTCTGGTCACCACTTTCCGACAGTGCTCAGGTTCCACGTGCCCCTAGACCCACTTTGTCTAAGACCTAGCATGTATTCCAACCCACTATCCACTTAGCTCCAAGCACACCACTCAGCTCACAGCTCTTGGTACATTTGCTTGCCCCCAGATTTCACACAGCTGTCAAATCTCCCCACAGCACACCCACCCTACCCTCTGTGGCGAGGTCCTGCCGATCTCGGAGAGGGAGAGCACTGAGGCGGGGGACATCTTCAGGCACCATGGCCCGGGCCTGACCCAGGGCCACAGCAGCATGACGGCAGACGTGTTTGATTCGTGGGCCTTGCACAGGGGACTCGGGGCCCTGGGGGAGGAGAAACCAGTAATACATGTGGGGAGTTGCTGCTTGTGCTCCTGTAACCAGCCTTCTTCAGAGGGCCCTCCTCCCACTCCATACCGATGGTCTCTCTCTCTTAGTTTCCAACGATTCATCTTCAGACCTGACAGAGCCTCTATCTGAGATCTGCTTGACAGTCCCCATGATCTCCTCCATCTGCCCTCCAGGGCTTGGCTGGTGGGAGAATAATAAACAGGGTCAGAGGCTGGAAAAGTGAGGAAAGATGAGGCCAAGGAAGGAACGCAGGGAGCTGGGGTATAGGGGAAGGACTGGCTCTGACGGTTCCCTGCAATTCTAGAGGATGTCTAGGGAGGCAGGTTAAAGGATTGCCGAGAATTGAGGCTGGATGACTGGGTGCGGGGGCCTAGCCAAAGCATACTTACCGGCATCAAAGACGCCACCTTCTGCTGCTGCTGCTGGTCAATCTTGAATAGCTGCACCTTGGCTCTCTTGAGAAGGCTGAACATTTTCTCCTCTACACCAGACAGTGGTAAGGAACCCAGGTCTGCAATCCGGGCTTTTTCCAGTGGTGGTGGCTGCTGTGGTGGTGGCTGTGGCTGCAACTGTAACTGTGGCTGCAGTGGTGGTAGTGCCTGGGGCAGCAGCTGGGTTGGCAAGGCCTGTAAGGGCTGCTGTAGCTGAGCCTGAGGTTGCTGCCCATTGCTCAGAGCTGGAATCCCAGGTGGGGGCACCTCGGCCTTAACAGGGGTGGCGACCACAGGGGTAAATCGAGGCAGGCTGAGGTGGTTAGTGCGGCCCACTGCCCGTGGCTCAGGCTCAGCTGGAGATTCATCAGCGGGAGGAGGCTCTGGCTCAGGGGCTTCAGGGGCCCCAAGAGGAGTAGTAGTAAGCACCGATTCATAGATCTTCAGGTGGGCTTCACTTGGGGTAAACTGAGGGGCCCGAAGGAGCAGGGGCCTCCTGGATGGGGTGACAGGGGCAGGGGGTGGGGG